GATTTAAACTTCGAATACTGGATTGTAACACCTACTGAAGAATGGGATGTATTAAATTTTCATGCAGCTTGGTTAAAAAATAGGTACCCAAAAAATAAAGAGTTGGCCATAAAATTATATGAAGAACAATTAATTTGGTATAGAACTAACAGCTACAAAAGAGAAAGAAATAAAGCTCATGAGATGTTAGAAAGGCATGCAGTAAGTTGCTATTTTCTTTTTAAAGATTTAGTAAACACTAAAATTATAACTCTTTGTTGTAGAACTTTTGGATTTTAAGTTTCTACTTTTATAGCTTTTTTAATATGCCTAGCCTAGTTTCAGAGGTCATATTATTCTAGTTCTGAGGAATACTATAATACCTGATACTTTGATTTTTGTTATACTATCTTGACTCGGCTCTAGGAATAAGCACATTCCGGTTCTGGGGAGTAATATTCGGACCTAGTTTATTTATAAAAATAAGATTGAATATGGCTCACAGCTCTTTTTATGAAGGTCTACCATCTTCTGAAGAAGGAGTGGTTACGTATTTTTCTTCATAAGATTAAAGACTGGTTTTTGTAAAAATTCTAGAGAGGAATATCCTAGCCTAGTTCTGGAGGTCGTATTATTCTAGTTCTGAGGAATACTCTAATACCTGATGCCCTGATTTGTTATACTATCTTGACTCGGCTCTAGGAATATGCATATTCTGGTTCTGGGGAGTAATATTCGGACCTAGCTTATTTATAAAAATAAGATTGCCGTATCTCTGTTGTAGAACTTAATTCGTGAATATGGCTCACAGCTCTTTTTTATAAATGTCTACCACCTTCCCGTTTCTAGCTTTAGCCGCGACATTATTTAAGTCATACTTTTCAGATTCTTTTAGAGTTTTTTAATGTTGCTGCATTTTTTTTTTATTTTAGAATGATCTTGATCGTGTTCATAAATATTGGAACGAGTGCTTTCCAGGAACTTCGGTATTGGAATTCTTTTATTTTATTCGATTTTACTTAAAGATTTTAATGAGCTTTTATTATATATAGGACTTTAATAATGATGACATAGAAGCAGGACCTTCGGTATAAATAATTCTTTTATTTTATTCGATTTTATATAAAAGATTTCTAACAAGTTTTATTGTATATAGAACTTTAATGCTGAAACAAATATTAATAATGATGACGTAGCAGCAAGACCTTCGGTATAAATAATTCTTTTATTTTATTCGATTTTATATAAAGATTTCTTAACGAGCTTTTATTATATATAGGACTTTAATGATAATGACGTAGTGGCAGGACCTTCTGTATAAATAATTCTATTTTATTCGATTTTATATAAAAGTTTTTTAACGAGCTTTTATTATATATAGGACTTTAATGCCGAAACAAATATTAATGATGATGACGTATCAGCAAGACCTTCGGTATAAATAATTCTTTTATTTTATTCGATTTTATATAAAGATTTTTTAACGAGCTTTTATTATATAGGACTTTAATGATGATGACGTAGTGGCAGGACCTTCTGTATAAATAATTCTTTTATTTTATTCGATTTTATATAACGATTTTTAACGCACTTTTATTATATGTATATGTATTATCGTTATAGGAGGTTTGTAATAAAGACGTAAATCGCCCCAACAATGTAATTCATAAGAGAAAATTTAAAGACGACCAAGACTTAAATTCCATTCAAGATTTGGAAGAAAGAATCGCAACTTTAGAATCATCTCATGTTGTCTTAATCGATTTGTTAAATGATATTATCGAAGAAAAAAAATTACTTATGGATAGAGTTTCAAATTTAGAAAGACAATTAGTCTCTACACTATCTAAAGATTGTGATAGAGTATTAAAAAAACGACGCAATTAGTTTAATAAGAATTGGTTAAATTGTATAATTCAATTAAGAATTAATAAATCTAAGGCTTTGTACGTAGCTTTATTTAATGCTTTACTATAATCAGTCTATAAAATAAATCAATTATCTTATGGTATTTTTATATGATAAAATTATTAATAGTAAATCATACTCTTCTGATCGTTCAGTAACCCAACCGTACCGGCTGGGTTACCAACCAATCATCATCGCCCATAAAATAAAATACATCATACTTCGCATGCAATAACTATATTGCAATATATAGTATGGTATAGAAGCAATATATTATAATTATAATTTAGTAACTAAAAATATAATTTCAGTAAGAATTAAATTTATAATTGTATTGCAATATCAAGAACCTTTAGTAGTATAATGATAATAGCTATTAGAGACCTGTATTGGGTTCTTAAGCTTGACTTATATTGTGAACCAAATCAGGTCTGAATATAAGTTATTTATATACGAAATAGTATCATATAAAATACTGACCTAAAGAATTTCGCTATTATAAGTCAAAACAAAAATGCACTCATTCTAATTCTAAAACCAATAGCGAAATTCTTCGTTAGTAATGCTAGAATGCCCTAATTTCCCCCACCACTTCTGATTGGCTGTACTAATTACTCACTCATTGGAGCCAATCAAATTTAACGATCA